TTGTGTGGCTTTTGGATTCTGTGTGGCTTTTGGCTTTCGTGGCTTTCTAGCCATGCGAAGGAAAGAAGGAGGGAAGGAAGGAAGGCAGGAAGGAAGCAAGGACGAGGGCTTCTGAGGCTTTTGAGGGTCAAATTTTGAGGAGGAGGGTCAATTTTTTTGGAGGGTTCGTCTTTTTTCTTTTGAGGGTCAGGTGTCTTTTCTTTTTTCATCTATCTATCTATCTATCTACCTACCTATCTATCTATCTATCTACCTACCTACCTGCTCACCCAGGAGGAGTTTGAGAAGGTGTACCTATCTATCTATCTATCTGTCTGTCTATCTATCTATCTATCTATCTATCTCTTTCTATCTGCACTTCCAAGTTCACAAGTGCTGCACCTGCCACGAAATGTACACTTCAAGGTCCACAAAGTACTGCCTACCACGAAATCTGCACTTCAAGGTCCACAAAGTGCTGCACGTGCCACGAAATTTGCACTTCAAGGTCCACAAAGTGCTGCACGTGCCACAACATTTGCACTTCAAAGTGCTGCACCTACCACGAAACCTGCACTTCAAGGTCCACAAAGTACTGCACGTGTCACGAAATCTGCACTTCAAGGTCCACAAAGTACTGCGCCTGCCACAAAATTTGCACTTCAAGGACCGCAAAGTACTGTGCCTGCCACGAAATGTGCACTTCAAGGTCCACAAAGTACTGTGCCTGCCACGAAAAACAACAAAATCCAAAAAATCCTAAATTGAATCCGAGCCCATTTTAAACTGAGCCAAACAAAAAGCAAGTTCGAGTTCTCATGTAGAATAACCTCTGATCTGAGGACGTATGTGGCTTCCAACCCCTTTCACAACTTTGTGCATGCCGTGGACGTGCTGTGCTGGCTCTGGATGCAAATGGTGCAGACCAAAGCCCCTTGGCTAAAGGCTAGTTGCCTAGGCGGATGAGTGTCCCTCGATGAGAGTTTAGGATGCAAGCAAGTGCTGCAGGCCAGAGGTTCTTTGGTGGTTTGACACTGCAATTTGCAATGGATAGTATTCATGGATCCCCGGTGAGAATCCTTGGTTTGCTGACAGAGCCTCCGAATGTTCGGGGGGACCACGCGCCGACCCAAAAGGCGCCGAAGCGGGGAGTTCACACACACCTTACCCAGCGAGTTCACCGCTGGGTTGCGACAGGCCAAGCGCTTCTTAGTGGATTCTGAGCAGTTCGCCTTACTGGTGGCAGCCATAGGAGAACATTGCGTCGTTGAGTTTTGGTGAGGATAGACCTCCTCGGTCTTATGGGAGGAGATAGACATGAATGTAGACTCCATGTTCAGGTGGAAGGAAGCCGAACCTTCAAAGGTGGTGGCTCAATTACGTCGTTGTTTCAGCTGAAAGGCAGAAGTCATGGATGGTCTCATGAGATTCGGTACACACCCAAGTCAGCGATGGCCTCCAACCTTAAGTTTCCCTCAACATTTAGAATTTAGAAATCAAATCATCAGTGCGAGCTATCCTGCGTCCAGTAGTTATAAAGTGGCTACCTAGCTACTACCAGCTACCTCAGTTCCTTACTTCATCAAGTAGGCCCCTACTTAATGAAGCAGGAAGGAGGGGGAGCGGGCAAAGAGGGGGAGCGGGCTAAAAACACAGAGGTTTCCAGCTACCTCTGCTGTGTGCGCCACGCAGGACATGATCTCGGCCACTTGGGGGTCAACAACAACTTCTTGGTGGCGCCCGGGGGCCTTGGACACCGACCAGCCGGTCCGGGACCGGACCGCGCGGTCGGTGTGGGAGACGCAGGTGGGTCTTCAGGTCCGCGGGTCGCTTCACGTTTTGGGAGCATTGCTCTTGGGGTTCCTGGAGGTGTCCAGCTTTTTGGGGGCGAACGCCACTTCCAGTCGCATTTTTTGGCTGGTGCAACGCAGGTTCTTTTTCGTCGTCCAGCGGCTGTTCTGAGGACGGCTCACGAGTTGGCGGTGATTTACAATGACCGGTCTCCCTTGGAGAATATGCATTGTCTCCAGGAATGCATTTCAGTGAGAATTCAACCGCATTCACCAGAGCGAAGAAGAAGAAGGAGAAGAAGAAGAAGGACGGTTCTACCCGGTAGGAACTGCGAGCAAAAGGCCAGGTGAAACAGCATTGGCATGTGTAGCATGGACATGTGTCGTGGACATGTCTTCCGCTGTTCTTCTTCAGCTCTGGCTGATCGGATGGTGGAGGCTTTGCCGCTCCGCTGAGGTTGGAAGCTCTTCCAGATCTTAGGGACCTCCGACACGAATCTCTTGGGTTCGGTGGACAAGGAGCTCTTCGGTTCCGGCGACGCCTTCGGCCGCGTCTTCGGTGGTTGGTCCGGTTTTTCCGGAAGGTCGTGGTCACGAAGTACAGTTGAATGCCACAGATCGAATTCCAGCCCGAACCTACATAGACCATAGAGAACTTGGCGATGATGCCCAAAACACCTCACTTCCCTTGCCGAAGGTTGGCTTTCCGCTCAAGGGCTCCCTGCTTGGCTGTCGTCAAAGACAAGACATCAAGTCTCCTGAGTGGAAGCTGGAGCCGCTTCTCTCGCCTGACTAGGAGACCTACAAACACATTCGGAAGAATATCATCGAGGCCGGCATCCAACGTGATTTTGTGGTGCAAACATGAAAGCACTCCAAGAACCAGTAAATCCAGAAGCCTTGCTTTTGCACACTTGGCAAGTCTTTCAGAAGTTTTTACAGTAGAGGTTGGAACTTCTTTTCTGCGAACATACGCGAAGCTCACTCCTCTTCTCTCCGCTTGGCACCTCCCAGAAGCCGCAAAACGGCGGGGTTGTCCCTGATATCGGTGAGGCCATCCTGCATACCGATATCACCAAGCACAATGAGATGGTGAAGGAGTGCTGAGACACACGCACACACTCCAAAACAATGTCCAGTTGTGTCACCGATGCTGGTCTGACAGGCTTCATGGTTGTGCCAAGAGGTGTTTTGGAGGAAAAAGGGAGTAAGGCATGAGGCACAGTGTTTCTTCTGCGTGAAAAAGTTCAAGTCACACCTCTGTTCTGCTGGGCAAAGAGCAAGGACTTGTCCTTGTTCTACCAGATGAACAAAGAGACCCTCAACATCGAAGAATTGTCAGCTGAGGCCCGGAGTGGTTCGCACGCAGGCCCATAAAAAACTGGCCATATCACCCTGCAAACATGCCTGCCTCGATGGAATTCGCTTCTTTGATACTCTGGAAACGTGTTGCATTGAATCCGATGAGAAGTCACAAGCACCGATGAGAAGCACCGTCCTATTTTCCATCAGACCCGGGATGGGCGCCCTGGGACGACCTGGCCGAGGCAGAGGATGTTTTGAAAAACAACCGACCCCTGATGATGAACAGCTTCCTCCACTCAGCAGATGCTGGGGGCCCTGGGACGCAGCAGACCTGAAGAGGCGTATCAGATGGACGTCGAGACGCCAGACGTTGGGTGAGTTGGGACCACAGGGCGCCAGGCAGTTTCAGAGGTTCGCCATTTGCGGCTGACTCCCAACTTACTCGAGAATGGGCTGCAACTTCCAAGCAGCAGCTTCATTTGTTCAACTTCTTTCCAAGTTGATCATGGCCAGGCTGCCAATGTGCAGCCGAAGTGGTTAAGATTGGCGGGTCACAATGCATGAGAAGGTCACTGCATGAGACACTGCCCTACAGATTCAGAGGTGAAAGAGCCTGCAGGCTTCTTGATGTTTGGAGGTCATGCTGTAGGCGATGCTTTTCTCATGGGCTTACGGCTTACATTTTTTCGAGATACCCGAGATAGACTGGCGCTTCACAGAAGCTTGTGAAGATTGCCTCAAAGGGTCAGGGTCATTTGCGGAAGTGATGGCATTTATATACATGGGCAGGTTCAAAAGCATCATATAGTGGCATTCTTTTCATGGGCTTTTTAAACGCCTTCGCTGAGGTCAACAATCCTTCCAGACCGTGGGAGGTGGCTGAAAAGCTCGCGCATCTGTGTGCCCGCACCGAGTTGAGCCAGTTGAGCCACTGCATACGATTTCGATTTCTGCCATTCTTGAGCGGATGATGTTAATGCTACATTTCTAAAAAGAGGATTTTGGAGGACCGGTTTCTATGGAGGAGCAAGGAATGAGTCAAAAACGAACCAATACAAGATTAACTGAGCCATCGCAAACAGGCTTTTGAGCCATTCATGGGAAATGATTTGGATCCAGATTGATAATCATAGGTCCAGGCCCAGGCAGGTCTTTTTGGCCAACTACAGATTCTGGCCAGTTGCAACCTGAAGGTATGGACGAGTTCTTCAGCCAGGGAGATAAGGAGGGGGTTGGGAGCCAGTTGCACCAGACGTAGATCGTGGTTTGGTGAGTGGATTTGCGGCACTTCATTAAGACTCGACCATGAGATTTGGTGCAAGACTGACTGTTTTGTGCAGCTCTTGATTTTGTGTCAAACAGACACGTCCAACCAAATTCGCTCCGAAACCAGCCACGTTTACAGGAAAAGGAGCTGGGAATCCCGGTCGGCATGCTGAACGATCGAGAGATGGTCAACAGGCGTGGTGGATCTTTGCTTCGCTTCGCCCGAACGGGTCGGGGCTCGAGCTTGGGCGAACGGCGGCCAAAAGCCACCCGGACTGCACATCGAAGGAAGCTGTGGGTTGGTGGATGGGTTGTGACCCACCTGGAGCCTTGCCCAAACGCGAAACCACCAGTTGGGACACCGGTCGGTATATTCGGGCCGACCTGCCAAAGTCGGTCGTCCGGGTGTTTTCGCTCGGCTTCGTGCCACATGACCCGCAGGGCACACTCTCAGATCGGCTTCATCGAGTTCATGATCGCGCCCTGGGTCGAGGCGGGACAGTCCCGCTGGGCTCACCTGCGCTCGTCCTTCCGTGTTCCCTGCTCTCGGAGCGAGTGGTGGGAAGCTGCCGGGTCTCGGAGGCCTTGGTTCCCATGTTTCCGGACTTGGAGTTCATGTCTGACTACACGGCTGAGCTGCTTGGCAAAGGCCTGACCAACAGGCTGAGACCCTCCGTCCGCCTGAAGTGGGGTCCCACTTCCTAGCTACGACTTTGGGGTCCTCAACAGGTTCTTTCTCCACTTTCAAAGACCTCTACCATTTGCAGCTTGTGCCAAGGAACATCCAGAAATGGGCGGCAATTTGGGAACGTGAGGCGAGGCGGAATGCACTGAGCGGCCGTTGTTCTGGAATCTAGGGGGATGGTGGTGATTTTGTGAGTTGGGCGAGGAAACCAGGCAATCCAACGACATTAGATGGCCTTTGACGAGTTTGCATTGGATAACAGCCTTGCCTAGTTGCATCAGTTCTGCAACTCCTAGGTCAAACGCACACCACCCCTGACTCCTGACCCTCCAACATTCCAAGAGGCAACATGAGTATTCCTATATTCAACCAAGGAACGCTGCTCACACACATCACACATCACACAAGGAACTGCACGCCCCGTGCCATTGCAGTGATGGCCTCATGGCCTGGCCATGTCAGAGGACATCGTTGGACCTTCCGTTGAGGTGAAGCCGCCCAAGGAGCAGGTTGAGAAGGTGCAGCTTCGTGTCCAGAAGGCCAGGAGACCGCTTCAGCTGGAGCAGACCTGACACGTGTGCTTTGTCACTCTGAGACCGGACCTACCTCAAAAAAACGGTGAAGGTCACGTCATGCCGCTGGCATGAAACACACGCGGACTGGAAAACCATACCCCGAAACATTGATGTAGAAGGTGTAATAGTCATAGTGCTTTTTGTAGGAAAGACCATCTCAACGGCTCAGCAGGGCAAGCAATGCAAGGCTTCGACAACAATCACAACATCATCCTATAGCGATGCTCACATCCCTCCACTGAACCCAAGCGCAACTTGAAGTAGGCTTTTCCAAAACCCCATGGCAAGGAGGATGGAACAGTCACACTGTTAAACACATGATTTGTCAGAAAAAGCATAGTCTGAACTGTCACCAGTGGTAAAGAAAACATGCAACTGTCTCCATTCCTCCCTGCTCGGCTTCCAACACCTCAAGCTGGTGGAGTGGAGAAAACAGATGCAACACCCACCATCTTCTGGTGAGACTTTCCAAAAGAAGAACCTCTGACATGTGACGTTCGCCATGAAGTTTTAGCATCTATCGTGAACACATAGCCGCATAGGTCACAAGATGAACCACTTTCTGTCGTGGTCTGATGTTTCAGGTAGAGACAGACAGGTGGGGACGCTCCGAGTTCTGCGCGCAGTGAGGTGGTGGCCAATCTCATTCCGCAGAAGAGTGCGCTGCTCAAACAAGGGGGTATGAGTGGGCTGCTACGTTCGTGGCTTCTTGTTACTAGTAGTAATGCCAGGAGCGCCCCGGTCGTATCGTCCGATCGCTTTGTTCGTAGCGATGCCCTTTGTTAAAAGTAGATTCTGTTACTAATCAAGGGGATGATGACAGTCAAACTTCTTACAGAATTTGCCACCCATGCATGGAGGTTTAGCGTCTGTTTTCTTTTACTGCTGCCCCGGTCGGCAGCGGTTTTGTGGAACTCCAACATGCAGAATCGGACACGTTTCACAAGGTTCTTGCATCAAACTCGGCGTTTCTGGTAGACAAGCAAGTTTGCTCCATTGCACGCGACATGGGGATGGCCATGAAGTCCTTGCTTGTTTGGAACCTCAGCGAAAACGGATGCTGAGGCAGCAAGATGTGATGAGCCAGGCCAGGCCGGGAGAGACAGCGATGTTCAATGAAGCTGGTAGTCACCAGCTTGGCCTGTACACCAGCTTTCCTCCAAGTACCAATTCTGGTGTCACCAAGTACCTCTGTTCGTGTCACTTTTCACCCCCAGAATTGCTTGGTACTTGGAGGAAAGCCGCAAAAGCCGTCGTTGAAACAGACACATGTTGGCCGCCAAAAAACTCCCTGCAACAATCATGGACGTGCACAAACCTCAGTTTGTAGAGGAACATCGGCAATTCCAAAGGGCCATTGTCCACTTCACTTCTATGCTTGTTGGAGGTGAAGTATAGGTCAACCCCAAGCTTCAGCCGTCCTTGTGCCGGGGTATCCTGCATAGACTGAATAGCCATTGTAATGACGAGCAGAACAGAGTCCGCTTCCATGCTGAGCTGCTCGTGAGTCCACTTCCATGCTGGGTCCCCTCAAATTCAATCAAATCAGGGGGGTGAGCGTCGCTTGACCGGTGCATGCAGCATTGCCCCAGGCGCTGAATGGGCGCTTGCGCTGCAGGATCGACTGCCTGGATCCGGGCATTTTGACCGAGTCCAGCTGTACACAAGGAAAAGAGCCGTCACCCAAGTGGAGTTGCCCTGTTTCTTTCTTTCTTTTTCAGACAACGATTTTGGGTATACTGTAGGATTTTGGGCGAGAAGCTGGTCCTCTTCATGATATGCTGATTTCTTTGGTCCTCTTCACGAGACGCTGATGTTCTTGAGAACACCACGCTTTCCATCAATTCAACAACATTGTAAGAGCAGCCACCTGAAATGAGCGCACACAAGGAAAGCTGGCTGTGCTAGCTGCCATTTGGATTTTTAAATGGTTTGAACAAATCCGATGGTGCGAACCCCCAAAAAACATTTTGGGCGAGTGTAGCATGCATTTTCTTTACCTTTTGTTTTGCCAGCATCCCCTCTCCGCCGTGTCTGTCTTGGAAGAGACAACCACGGGTATCGAATTTTGGTTCCAGTTCCTTACCACAAACTTGATGAAGGAACTCTTTAACGTCAGGATACTTGGGTGGCAGAGAGTGGCAACTCCAAATACTTGCGCCATTTCGCACAGCTTTCAACCACTCCCGGAGTTGGCCGCGAGAGTTGGCGGCATCTCACCAAAAAAGACGCCGCCCATAGGGGAGTGCGTCTTGGGGACCACGGGGGCTGAAAGGATTGGGAGATGTTGAAAACAAAAAACTGAGGCAGTGCAGTGAAACACAGCTGCTACTTGCTGGAACGTGGCAAAGTCCCACGACGCCTGTGGCCAAAGCGGAAAAGGAATGAGGCTCTGAGATTTTCTGGAGCCAAATGGGAGAGGCTTGACCAAGTGGATCCCATTTGTGGAGACTGGAGACAACAGAAAACACATGTTTAACTGTTTCGTGATTCATTCTGAGCGATTTGATGTTCCGCAAATCGGGTGAAAGCCTTTCGGAACCTTTTTGCGAGGCTTCTGGTACTCACCGCATGGACAAGGCTTATAGGATGAGCATGGTGGGTTTGTGCGGGTTTGTGCCAATGTTCACGACTTCTGATCACCGAAATTGGAGGTGACACCAGTCGCGGGATTTGAGATCACCTTGTCCTGCGTGGCTTTATAGTTCTTGTAGCTTTTCATTCGTTTCACATGTACCTGACAAGTGACACCACATGATTGCTACTTCTTAACATGTTTTTTTAGGTTGCCCTTTCCACAAAATGACCACCGCATGAAGGTTCCGCTGGGCGAAGCAGCTGGGCGAACCAGCTGGGCTCAAGCTCAATACATCGAGCTCAAGGAAAGCATCCGAACTCCGAATGATCTCTCTAAGACTCGCTATCATATCGGAAACTTCTCAAATGCTTGGGTCTTCCCATGCTGCCAGCTTAGGTCATGAAGAAGATTCTCCTTAGCAACTTCCAAATTTCATGTTCTCACCCTTCTTGCTGCTTTCTGCTTTCTCACCCCTTGTGCTTCTCGGCACCACCGGTTTTGTTCTTCACCCCTCCACCGAGCACCGTGACCGCTGCGCCGTGACCGACGGAGACCTCGTCCGACCCATGGGTCGTGGCCATGGCTTCTTTCGGCTGGCGCTCCTGCTGCTTCTCGTGGCCATGGCCTCAGTCTGGGAGGTGGCTCGTTTTCTTTCTTTTGGGGGTGTCAAAAGAAACATGCGAGATGTGTAGCTTGGCAGCATGGATGTGTCAGGTGGGCGGGTCGTTCTGTTAAAATGTGACTTTGGAAGGCAGATGAGTCAACTTCTTGCATGGAGCAAGCTCTGCGCTTGAAAAAGACATGTCGTTTGAGCTAGTCATGACCGAAAGTTAGGTCAAAACGACGTTTCTAGCAGTTGACAAACCGGCATTGCTCCATGAAGACCACCCTTTTGCATGCAAAAAGACATACGTTTTCGGCCGTCACCAAAGCCAACGTGGTTTTGGCCCATTTCTACCGCCGGAGGATGCCTCCCTTGATGCGCTCCCGGGCATCGCTGATCATCAACTGATCGATGCCTATGAGGCCAATGTCTAAAGGGATGTGTATTTTGTTAGTTAGGGAGACCATCGCTATTAGGTTGGAGGCCATCGCTAAGAGGTTGAAGGCCATCGCTAGTAGGTTGGAGGCCATCGCTATTAGGTTGGAGGCCATCGCTAAGAGGTTGGAATGTCCAATGGGGTGTGTATTCTTAGTAGGGAGATCCCCTGGCCCACTGGGTAGAGTGGTCTATTTTCCCTCTTTCAGCGGGTGCTTGCCTGGAAGGTCTTCCTATCTTAATACACAAAGTTCCACGGTCTGCAGGGTTCCTGTTTCATCCTGTTGACTAGCTCTGAGCCGATGATTCCGAACGACAGGAATTGGTGGCGAGCGTGACGAAGTTCATACCTCCAGGGCTGGAGGATTTGCCCCAACGCTACTAGTAGCAGAAGCTACTAGTAACGAGGACATCGCTACCAGTAACAAGGCATTGCTACTAGTAGCAAGAAGCTACTATGGCATTGTCTTAGAGATCTTGGAGTCAACGCCAACAGTCAAGCGTGACATAGCGCGACTAGCTGTTTCACGAAACGTCTACTCCCTTCTCAGATAAGTAACAAGAAGCTACTAGGGGCTCTTGGCATCGCTACTAGGAGCAAGTAGCTACTAGGGGCTCCTGGCATCGCTACTAGGAGCAAGTAGCTACTAGTAACACCAGGAAGTCCTTCGACCTGCCGAATGCATTCGCGAGGTTTAATCCTGTTCAGCGCCTGGTACATCGCATCACGAACGCTGTGGAGTGCACTGCGAGGAGAAAAATGTGCATGTGTCATAGCTGCATTGATCAGCTTTGATCAGCTTTTTCCCTTTTTTGAGCTTTGCCCCTTCCGGCTTCGTGTGTATTCGCATCATTGAGAATTGGACATATTGGAATCGGTGGAAGATTTCTTCTGGAATCACAAACCCTATACATATAAGTCCAAGTCAATCAATCATCTAAAGGACTTGAACATGTTTGCGGGAGAACGAAGAAAACATCGTTCTCTTGCCCAAGACTGAGTTCCTTTCATCTCTACACTCTTTTTCTCGCAACACTCGCCTTTTTGGTCCCCGAGTTGGGAGGCCGCAGACTTTGCAGTGTGTTCGGTCATGTCCTTCTGTTTCTCTCTGGGCCTGAACCACTTCGGTGTCCCAAATGGGCACCAGACTTTGGACAGGCCTTTGGACAGTTTCGGAATAGAACCTGAACTAGACCCCATCCACCTACATCCAAGGGTTTGGTCCATGGCAACAGGTCGCACCATCTTCACAATCGTGCGGTTTGATTGTATGCATTCGGTGCAGTGCAATTTATCATGGATGGTTTGAGACACGAAACCAAGGCAAAGGTGCCGCAATACTGCCAGATTCCACACATGTCATGAACATTTTCTGCAAAGATGCACATCCATGTATGTGGAGCATCCGCATGTCGTGGAGGTTACGAGTCGGTGGACAATCTTTCAGAGGTTCCTCCCATGATGCGCTTGCGGATGCTCGGCCTGGATAGGGGTGTAGGCTGTGAAGACGACAACTGTGGTCAAATCATGTGGTCAGGGAAAGTGAGGGATCAAAACCTACCTACATGGCATGAAGGTGAGATTTGGTCAGGTAGAGTTCAAAGGGTTCAAAGACACGCCATTTTTAATCATTCTTCCTGTCCACAGGTGTTTCAAAGGCTCACCCTCTATTGAGCATTTGTTGTTCGCACAATTGTGCGCCTTCTTACTTCCATCTTCTTCCATCTTCTTCCATCTTAGGATTTGCGAGATGGACATGGCGGCCATTCACACTGTCAGTCCTTTCCTCTTTGGTCAAGACTCTCCCACCGATGAGCTCGGCCTCTCCCCGCCGGAGATCTGGTCGCTCGTGGCCAAACGGGCGATGCGACCCGGCCCAAACAGGAGGACGCAGACGAGTGCTGCGCGTCCAGACGAGGACGAGTCCTGATCATGTCTCTTTTCGTATTTTTTGGGCAGAGAGTTTCTTTTTGTTTCCTTTTTCTCCACCAATTTTCCTGATTCTCCGATGTGGCTGGCATGGGTCGCCGTGATAGTACGGTCTCTTCCAGCCAAAAGACCCAAAAGGGATGTTCGGGTCAAGATGAATCTGTTGTGATCGGCTGCAGGTATTTGGCCGAAATCACCCAGAGTCATCCATTCCAAGGAGATTCCGAGCTTGAGGAGACTCGGCAGCAAGAGAGGTCGAATTGAAGTACAGGCCTTCAACGTAGGATGGTTGGACACATCGTTGTTATGAGCCCAGAGAGTGAAACAGGACATGAACTACTTGAAGGACCAGCTTAGGAAGGAGGACGACCAAATATCGTTTTGATAAATAAAAAGCAGGAGTCACAAGACGGGGAGGAAGTCGAATGACCTGACCGGCACGGCACATGCGACACAGACGTTAGACTCGTCCATTTGGGTTTCACCAGTGTGGGAGACTCGTCTTTTGGAGTTGCTTAGCTTCATTTTTGTAATAGTCAATTGGCAATCATCTGTCTACGCTACTCATGTGGGGAGTAACGTTGAATCAATGGAGTTTGTTGCGACACTTATTTGATCATGGGCTGCAAGGGCCCTGCCAAGAGGAGGATCATTTTTCCACTAGTTCCAAACCTCAAGCTCCTGTTTGAAGGGACAATTGTGGATGTAAGACTTTCTTTTGAGGATGATGAGGATGACGATGATGCTGATGATGCTGTTGCAAATGATACTGATGATGCTGATGATGCTTGTGGTGAAATGCCGACGAAAAAAGAAACATCTTGCTCGCCGAGGCTTCAATGATTTCCATGGCACGCCTGGCGAACGCTGAGTGCCTCGGATGCCAGCGTCATGAAGCCAAAAAGGCACGAAATTGTGTTGTTTTGACGAGACAATCATGTATATGTATGCAGCACGTCTGTCGCGGACGCCACAAGTATAGAGGATACTGTAGGATTTCGTCGCCGGCGGGGGAATTGCCTATGGGTGGCTCAGCGTTGCTGCCCTCAGGCTTGACGGGTTTCTCCATGTAGTGACAACTCTGCGGCTGTGGGATGCGAGCAATTGCGACATCTAGCCTGCTTGTGCTATGTGGAATCAATGAATTCGATACTTCCAGCAATGACAGCTTTTCAGATCTTGGAGAAACAGTACTGCAGCCTACCAATGATTATTATCTATATACTATTGTTATTGTTACTTTCATTATTACTATTATTACGATTACTATTGTTATTTACTTTTATTTCATACATATTTCATTCTATTATTTCGTTTCATCCGCCGTGACCTGCACGCAGTATTTTTTGTTTATATAATATTTTGCCGATGTGACCAGCCCCTGTTCTGCCCGTGACGTCCCGTGGCCCATCACCACAGGTTGGGGACATCGTGGATGACAGGACGCCCGCCTCGGATTGTGTCAGCGGCCCAGAGCGGACAACGCGGAACCGGTCGGCGCCACCACTCGGCTTGGAGTCAAAGCATGCCAAAACGTGTGATCTGATGGAAGAATTGGTGGTGTTGACTTCCCAAACTAGAGCGGGATTTGCTTTGAGCTTGTGCTGGCTCAATGCATGAGAGCAGAACAACTCAGCATTTGATGGCTGAAAGGAGCACTCCTTCTATTGGCAGTTGTTGGCGCTTCAGTAGTACCTGATTAGCTGTGAGTCATGAAGGATGCGTGGCTGGCTGCATTACAACCTTCCAAGGATTCTCCAACCACGGAACACCACGCCTCCTAGTGCCCGTTCGGCGGATGCCAGGTATGGCGCGCATTTCGACATGGGGCTTCAATTGGGTGTGTAGACCGAAGCCCCTATTTCGGGTTGGGGGACGCATCTGGAATGTCGTCTGAAGAGTTGACACAAAAAGAGACATAAAGCGTCCCGGAAACGTTACATAGGCCGCTTCCGCATCTCTAATGCGCTTGGCGGTTTTCCCCACGCAATGGCCGCTGCTCTTCGTGCTGCAAGGCAGGGATGGATAGAATATGACTTCAGGGCCTTGAACCCTGTCAAGCGCTTCGATTACTTCTTGGAAGTTATGTTTCTTGATCCTGTTGAGGGTCTCATGTTGATTACTTGTGCAAATTGACTTCAGTGGATGCTCACCGAAGACCTGGTGAATTTGAGCCGCACTTTGCGACTTACAGATACTTTAATTGATTTTCGAGGCTTCCCATGAGATCACCGCAGGTGCATGGGGCTGGCCCGATTCGAGAGAACTCTCCAACCAGACGCTGCACGACGGCCTAACATCTGTGAAGTTCAAGCAGGAGTGGGATGACTTAGGGTGGTTGTTCCTAAAAAGGAGTGGGATGAGATGCTCAGCCGTCTTTTTTTGAAAGCTTAGCAGTCCGACGAAACCAACCGCAAGAGCAAATTATATATGTGTGTGTAACCCTTGGAATCAGGGAATCCGTTGATTTGTAGTTTTTTAGTAAGCAGGGGGCTCTCGGAGCCTGCATGAGACGAGATTGACCGCACCTGGGCATCCAAGTGCAACTGGTGGGTCCTATGTTGTTGGTCCCTGCTTATAGCTAGAACAAGCTTTCTCTCTTGGCTTCGATTCTGCATTAAACAGCCAATGAGCTTGACCGACTTGCAGTTGCACCTTATGCCACTCAGAATTGGACTCTAGTCCATGTCCTTTTCCTTCAGGTTTTAACTACCCTGGACTCTTAGGTTTTTACTTAGGCTGGCGTGTGGCAAGCTGCAATCGTGTCAGTACACCTTATCTTGAGTATGTCTGGTATCTGTGCCAGCCAAGGGTGTAGCCGAGGAGTGTCCCCTGGGGAACGTAGGTGTCCGTAGCGGAAAGCAGGTGGCATCTGCCAAAGTTCTTTGCCAAGACTTGATGAAGCACTGCATTTGAGTGGGCAGCTTTTCGAGCAAGCCATTAGGTGACCATAGCGGTCAAAGCAGATGATGCACACGACAATCTTGAAGCAGGAACACCTGAACAGCAGCAATCGCAGTTCATGGTAGGTGTGGACCCTTTCCAGGACCCTAAGCCCGTTCAGTTGTTTGAAGCAGCACGAAAAATTTTTGAAATTTTGCAAAAAGACTTGCCAAAAAAATCAAATGCAAGACCATCAGACAATGCCGAAGAAGACGTCACCGCAGCTGTGCCACAAGTGGGGGAGGAAGCTTCTTGTCATCGTGTGGTCCTTGATGTGCAAGACACCATCCGCAGACTCTTGCAAAGCACAAACAGAATGGACGAACTAGCAGAAGGCTTGTCGAAGGTCGGTGGCCATCTTCATGTTGATGCCCTGGCGGTGCCCAGTACAGGAGTCTTGGGCGCTCTTGATTCCGAAACATGTCCAAGTAGTTTTGTGGAGTTTTTTTATGGAGATGCCGTCCCGAACCTGCAAGGGCGGCCAAATCCGGACGTGACCTACCAAAACCTTTGTTCAGCCCTGATGCAGCGAGAGGAACTCGAATACGAGCGCGCAGACGACGCAACCCCTCATCGGGCCCGGGCAGTCAGCAGGTTCGATGGCCCAACATGTGCTTCGATCTTTGGAGATTTTCTGCGGCGCATGAGAACCTTGCAAGAAGTTCGTTCGTCTTTCCAACGCCCAGGCTTTGAAAAAGATTTCAAATTCATAGCCACGGACAAGTCAGAGGATTTCCTGAAAGCTTACACGAACGACAGCAACCAAACTGTTCAGCAAATCATTGGCAGTGGCAGCGTGCCCTCGAATATAGAGACCGCGACACATGCTCTTCAGTACCACTTTCTGTTCCATTGACAGAAAGGTACCAAAAAACGTCTCAGACACCTCGGCCATGGAATGAATACATGTTTCGGTCCCATGACAACGTTTCAACACACAACTGCACAAACACATACAGCCCTTTCATTTCCAACTCTGCGAAAACCCAGATCTCAATTTGACAACGGAAGCCCACCCATGCCAACCCTGCTGTGCGAATGCGCCAGCTCACAACAGCCTTCCCGATGTGTAGAGCGAGGTTTTTCCTGCTGATACAGGAGCTCAATTGCCCCCACCTGCAAGGGGTGGACAGCGTATATCTTGGACGCTTTAGGTTGCGCCGGTTCTTGGGACATTTTAATGTTGAGGATGACTTCGCATCGTCCGGTGTCCCATGAATCTCGGAGGCCTTGGAAGCCCAAGGCCGTGGCTTTCAACATGGGCATCGAAAAACAGACGGTTGTTCCAACATTTAAAGATTTGAACCTTATCGGCATGTTGCAACATGATCCCCCAAGCTTGGCACCCAGCATGGCAGCAGGCAATGGTGCATTGCGCCGGAAAGAAACAAGTATACAATATGAATGCGCCGCCCTTCCTGCGCAACAACTGGCAGTCACCATGCCCCAGGAACCGTTTTCTCGGCAACAACAAAGGCAAACGCGGTGTGACGGCCACTTGGAGGTGGATCAAACAACAAGGCGCCCTTTGCTGAATGTGGTTCCAGAATCACCACTGCGGTGCATTGCCGCAGAACGTGCTTCAGCTCACCTAAACAATAGGATGGCTGCCAATCCACACCAGGATCTTTCATTGACTGGTTGTGAATAGAGTTCAATGCCTTTGTATCGCTTGCCTCCTTTTGTCAACGCAAAGAAAGACCAAGGCTCCGATGAGACTCACTGCGAGCGCTAACGCGGCAGGTGAAGTTCAAAACGTGCTGACAGTGGACAATGCCCCGGTCACTGCAGACATGCTTCACTCCGAGGCGCAAACATGGCACGCAACTTTCGCTCTCGACTTTCGATTTTCTACACGTTCACGCGCGCAATCGCGAATGCAGCTTTACTTGTTTGAAAAGTGCCAACAAGAGTATGAGTATGGTCGAAAAACGCAAGTTGCTAAAATCTAACAGAGCGCCTGCCTGTCGGTTTTCCTTCTTCCACATAGTGGTGTTGGGAAAAACGCATTCGTCGACACGGAAAGCGACCGAATCCAAACACTGTAGTCTCTACGCCCGAAGACCCTAAAGATCATGGGTTAGTTCTGGCGCCAAGGAACCAGCCTTTCAGGTCGGCAACTTCCGATGTCGCGATGGTGCGCTGCCGGTGCAACGTCGACGTCAAATTTTGTTGTTTGAGGTTTCGCAGGACCCATGACTCCGATGAAGCGTCGATGCTGAAGTGCAAAGACACTTTGTTGCCACTTGTGCTGAATGTGCCCAGCAGCAAGCTCTTGGAAAAGCAAAGTCTCAAGAACTGCGCCGCTGTGCTTACAACATTGTGGCAATGCGCGTGGCATCCTTAAATATTGAGTTTTAAATTGCTGGCGCAATCAGTGTCCACGCTTTTTCGGTACACCGTTTACACCGTCTACACCGCTTACACCGTCTACACCGTCTACACCGTCTACACCGTTTACACCGTCTACACCGTTTACACCGTCTACACCGTTCACACCGGTTACACCGTCTACACTTTTACACCGTCTACACCGTATACACCGGTTACACCGCCTACACCGT